AGGTTGTTAAATTATAAGTTGGAGTCAGGAGCCTGCTTGTAGAACAGAGGTTGTTTATTTTAAAAGTTGAAGAAGTCAGGAGCCTACCTGTAGAACGGAGGTTGTTAAATTTTAAGTTGGAGTCAGGAGCCCGCCTGTAGAATGGAGGTTGTTAAATTTTAAGTTGGAGTCAGGAGCCTGCTTGTAGAACAGAGGTTGTTTATTTTAAAAGTTGAAGAAGTTAGGAGCCCGCCTGTAGAATGGAGGTTGTTAAATTTAAAGTTGAAGGAGTCAGGAGCCCGCCTGGAGAATAGAGGTTGTTAAATTATAAGTTGGAGTCAGGAGCCCGCCTGTAGAACATAAGTTGTTTATTTTAAAAGTTGAAGAAGTCAGGAGCCCTCCTGGAGAATGGAGGTTGTTATCTTTAAGTTGAAATTAAAGTCAGGAGCCCGCCTGTAGAACGGAGGTTGTCTATTCTAAAAGTTGAAGAAGTCAGGAGCCCGCCTGGAGAATGGAGGCTGCATTATCTTTAAATTGCTGTTGAAGTCAGGAGCCCGCCTGGAGAATGGAGGCCGTATTATCTTTTAAAGTCAAGTTGGAGTCAGGAGCCCGCCTGTAGAACAGAGGACTACATTTCAAAACGAAGTCAGGAGCCTGCCTGCAGAATAGAGGAATACATTTCAAGATCAAATCAGAGGTCAGTAATGCGGAGGGTTACAACAAAATACCCCCAGCATGAATCCCATCGCAAAAATCAGAAAGAAGACTACAAGAACAAGTCGGAGATAGATAAGAGTTTATAATTCCTAGTTTAAGTCTAGCTTCTTGTTTTCTTTTGGCACGGTGTAATAAGGAGATCGAAAAGCAGTAGCAATAGCACGCAGCAGCAGTAACAAAATGCAGTCCCATGGTAGTCCCAGCTACCAAAACTTCCCGAACTACATTAACCTGATTCCCTTTTAGCTAGGGATATGTAGGAAACCTTAGAAGCAAAGGTTCAGTTAAATCTTTTCAAAAATGCTTCACACGGAGTATTCCAACGGGCAAAAATCGCTCGTATCCACTCACTTTATCTTTGCACGAAAACTCTTTGTGTTTTCGGACAAAGAGGGGCAGTTGTGAGCACGTGATTTTTGCCCTACAAGAACTACTCCCACAAAAATTCAAAATAAAATAGTTGTGTATTGCTTGTGATTTATTTGTATTTGTCTGTGCATGTTTATTCTATTTTTACTACTGAAAAATACAAAAATATATGTGTTGCATTTACATTTACAATTTAGGATTAATTAACCAGTGATTTATTTTATGAAAATGAAAATCATAAAAAAATAATGTACTTTGCATTTTTAGCATTTAATGTTGAATTGTGTGATTTCCAAATTAATTGGCATTTAATTATACGTGATAATTATTATTAGAAGATAATTAGTATTTTTAACTTGGTTTATAATTTTAGAAAAATAATTTAGGAAGAAAATAAAAAGAAAAGAAAACAAAAATGAAAATGGAAGAGAAATCGGACTGGGCCATGTTAAATTTGACCAAATCCAGCCCGAACTTTGTGTCTAACCCGGTCCAATTGATCAGCCCACTCAGACGTCCCAAACGACGTTGTCTATGCCACTTTAAATAATTGTTGTTGGATTGAATCAATCCAACAGCCAGGATCATCTCTTACCCAAATCCAACCCAACCCCGTCCCATAACCCGGTCTCTTAATGAGACCAAACGACACCGCTTTATTTAAGTGAATTGATCCGGGCCCTCGATCTCTCTTGATCGAACGACCAAGATCAAACCAACCCCCCCACTATATAAATTCAATCTCATACCTAGCCCCCCCAAGCCAAACCCCACACCTCTTCGTCTCTGAGCTTCAGAGACCAAACAGACCCTCCGCCTCTTACCACCATGCTTCGCCCACAGGAAATCGCCTCACGGCCGTTCCGGTGGTCTAAACGACCCTATATTTTCACCACTGATTCCCCTCGACCTTCCCATTTCGAATCCCTAACTCTTATCCCTCAAATCCCAGCCGTGTGCTTTAAATATTAGATCAAAAATCAGGCCGGAACCCTATCTCGTCCAATGGCCTCCAATTTCACACCACAGCTTCCGCAAGACTTCCTCGTTCTAGTCCCATACTCATTTCCCTTCGAATCATCCCCCAGCTTCTCGAATCTTCAATTGAAGATTCGAGCAAACCACGAACCAAAACCAATCCACCCCAAATTCATACCCTGGCACCCCCTGACCTACCTCGTGCCCAAACCACCTTTGGTTTGGGTCGAATCTGGGTAGAAACACTCGAACCCAAATCGAAACGTAAGAACCCTAGAAAACCAAAACTGGTTTCTGTCCGAAATTGAAGGGAATTTGGGTGTTTAACTGACCTTAGTCGAAGTGTTCTCGGTTGAGAACACTCGATTACGGTCCGTTTGACCTCAAAAAGTTCAAGTCCGAGTCAATTCAACTCCGTCTGTTCTCTGTTCCATTTGAGGTATTTTTCTTTCTTTCCTTTTATTCTATTTTTGATGTTTTAAATGTCTATTTATTTGTTTAGTATTGTTATATTAATTTTTCAATTTTTTGTCGATTGTTCTATTCTTCTCCTTCAGACCTTTTATTTGGTCGAATTTGTTTCTGCTCGTTGTTGTGTATAATTATAGGCTGTGTAATCGATTCGAATAAGTTTTGTCGATTAGTTAAGTCTTATTATAAATCTCTGTTCTTGTCAATGCCGCGTGAATTGACTGATTATCTATTTCTGATTGATTGTTGTCAATTGTTATAGGCAATTGGTTAATTAGTTATCGTCAATTAATTCAGTTTTATTAGTAGTTTTCATCAAATGGTTTGATGTCAAATGTTGTATGTACTGATCTTTAGGCAATTAGCTTCAGAGCATTGTCAATATGCTGACAATGATCCTGCATTCTTGTATAGGTTTGACTTAGAATTGTGTTAGTTTAATCCCTGCATTCATGTGATTTTGATTCAGTTTCAGCTTCAGCTTTAATGATTCTGTTGAGTTCTGTGTTGTGTTAGTTTGGTTTTGATTTAAATTCAGTTCATTTGTTTCAATTGGAATTCAACCTTAGTCATTCAGCTGTCAGGAGGATTGGTTATAGCTGTTAATCAGAATTAGTTTTAGATAATTGTTAGCTTGAACAGATTTTAGAGTTAAAAGGTTTTAATGCAGATGAATAGATTGTATTAGGGCAGTAATATTAAGGGGTTTCAGGGGTGATTTGGGAATGGAACAGTTAGGAAAATATTTTAATGTTAGTGTCTTGTTAGTGGGGTATTAAATGTCTTTAAATTAATAAGTTAATGGGGAACAAGAGGGAATTGGGGCTGAAAATAAGGAAAAGCATTCCTTAGTGGGTTTTAAGTGGAAATATGCAGATTTTGGTTGCTGGGGGTCGGGTAGTTAAGTTTTAAAGAGGGGGTAGGTCTAGAATGGCTATAAATAGAAGGCATTTGGACTGATTAAAAAAAAGGGGACAGGAGAGGAGATTCTGGAAATCTTAAGGGTGTTGAACATTCTGAAAAACTGGAAGAGAGTTTTAAGAGTTAGTCTAGTTCAACTAGTGCTATCCCATTGAAACTGAAAAGAGTTTAGCTTTAACTGTGGAGTTGTATTTTCGAGTTTTTCATGATTACTGAATTCTAGGGGTGTTTCTGCTTGTGTTTTGATTGATATTTGGTTGCTATCAAGATGTTTTGGGGTTAGTTACTGGGTGTTTGCATTGCTGGGAATTTTTAACTGGTTTTCCTGAGTTCNAGCAGTGTTTGTATTTAGTTTTATGTTAGGTTAATAGGATAGTTAGATTAATTTCAGTTTTGGTTGTTTTGTGAAGTCATTTGAAAGCGATTCACATTGCAATAAACCTTTAGTAATGGTCGTCATGTGCTTTGTACTAAAATAGGACTGTTTATTTACTACATCATGGCATGTTAAAATTGGCCCATAAAGAGTGTTGTGGTTATTTTGTTCAAGTTGTTCCAAGTATAACGACGTACTGCTTTCACTATAAAATCAGGATGCTTACCTAACGACATGTAAATGAATAAGTAAATGCTTGACTTCAGGGGCTCGATACCTCGATCTCTCCTACGCAGCTTGGCACGCCCCATTCGGTTTTGGGCTTGCCTCAAGGCCCACCTGTTGTTGTTCGTTCACAAGTAGAATTAGTGGGCCCATTTAATTTGGGCCTGATTTAAAGGTTTCAGTATATAGTTAACACAATATAAGTTTGGGCTTTGAGTTAGGTAGCGAGTTCAAATTAAAAGGCCCGTCCTTTTGTTTGGACTTGAACTTGAACTCGAAGCCCGCTTTTATAATATTAACTAATTAGGACCTTTTCTTTTTCTTTAGAGAAAAAAAGAAAAAATAGAAAAATCATAGTCGCTTTAGGATATCCTTTAAATAAAATAAGTGAGGCGTGCCTCGCCGAATAAATTACAAATTGTGGGGCCCTCAACGGATAGTTATTCCAAATGCTTAGATTTCGAGACAGGCCACATAGCGAACTTTACGACTTTTTCTCAAAATAACAACGCGTTAGTATCTTTAGGCGCGTATTTAATAATGTTATCTTCCTAAACTCGGATGCACATTTATGTGACCCAAATCCAAATCTCAACGAAGTTGGAATGTATCGAAAGTTGCGGGTACATTTATGTGGCGCAATTCGAGGTGCATTCTCACGACGTTGCAATTCTTTAAATAATAAATGATAAAAGCGGTTCAAGGATAAAATTGGTACATGGGTTCAAAATGTATTAAAATCAGATAAATAAGCCAAATATGACAGTTGAGCGACCGTGCTAGAACCACGGAACTCGGGAATGCCTAACACCTTCTCTCGGGTTAACAGAATTCCTTATCCGGATTTCTGGTACGCAGACTGTAATACAGAGTCAATCTTTTCCTCGATTCGGGATTTAACCGGTGACTTGGGACACCATAAATCTCCCAAGTGGCGACTCTGAACTAAAAAATAAATCCCGTTTCGATTGTCCTTTAATTGGAAAAACTCCCTTTACGCCCTTTGCAGAGTGTAGGACAAAAGGAGGTGTGACACTGGTAATGGAACCTGAGACTGTGCAGCAGAGGGCTGTGGAGTAGCTATGGAGGTAGCTAGGGCCTGAGAGGTGTCTGGCAGTCCTGGACCCTCTGATACTGCTGTATCTGCTGGAGGAGGAATGAGAGTCTCAGGCTGAGTTGCAGTTTCCTTTGCTACTGCGTCACTGATTCTCATGATGTCAATGTCTTTGGTATCATTCTCCATTTTGTTGTGCCCAGGCAGGACATGCACCTTTGCAGCTTGGCAAAGAGTAGTGATCAGGCAGGGGAACAAAAGTGATGTTTGTTTCTGATTGGCTATGATTCCTATCTTTTGGAATATTATCTTCCCCACATAAATCTTAATCCCTGTCATAATGCACGGAATGAGAATTTATTTCTCAATGTTTATGTCGGTTTCATTTCGGGACAGCATCAAACGGGATGTAACAAAGCTAAGCCAGTAGCGTCCCTCCCTTGTAAGATCCTCCTTGAAAATTTTGTGTTGCGGGTCAATCCAGGCTAGTGTCCCCTTTGCTATTACTGAGGACAACCGAGGAATGCTCATTGTGCTTATTGGCTACCTTGGCATTATATTCAGCTGTGCCTGGTCACCAATCCTTGAAAAACTGTTCATTCTCGGACATACTTGGAAAAGATCCTGTTGCGCTTCTGTGAAGGAGTCCTCGAGGCACCGTAGGAAGCATAAAACTCCCTCACAATTGTCTCGTTGTAGTCATCCAGGACCTCAGTGAACAACTCTCACTTCCTCTGTTTGATGTTTTCAAGGATGTGAGGGTAGTGCTCCGATATCCCATTCAAGCTCAGTTGCTTTTCCTCCAGAATGTTCCTCTTTGAGAGTGCTGCTTTGTACAAATCTATGGAGCCCTTGACCGCAAACTGGAGGTTAAGGTCCCCCCCAGCTTCCTGCGTGCCTCAGCCTGTAGATCAACTGGAGCTCTGAGGTCACTCTATGACTCCTCCTCATCAGACTGGGAGGATCTCTCAGTAGTAATGTGGAGTGCCTGAGATTGCTGCCTTTTTGCTTGTTGTGCTTGTTGGCTAGGATTGGCAGCCCATTTCTGTCGACCATCGGGAGGTGTTCATATTGGATTAGACCTCTTTGGTACCATGCATGTGGATGAAACATTGTAGGAGTTAGTGAAAGAGCTTAGGAAAAGACATCAGATATAAAAGAAAAAGAACAAAACAAAATATTTTTTTTGTTATGAGATGGGTTATGCGATTGCATATCAAATGTGCGGACAGCAGAACCATCGTACATGTGCTGAAACAAAATGGTATTAACAATTATGTGATCAAAACCACCACTAAGTGGTCATGCGATCGCAAAGAGACCGCAGAATGTACACTAAGAAAACCTGAGGGACTGCCTCAGTATGCGACACCTATGCCGTCCGCATAATAGGTATATGATCGCTGAAGCAATCGCATAACCTGTCTAACCTAGGGAAATATTGAGGGGTCATTTGCGATGATTATGCGGACCGCAAAGCCATTATGCGGCCCGCAAAACTCGTCTCTATGAAAATTAAACCCTACCCCACATTGTCACCATGTTTTTTTTGTTTTTGTTTTTATTTTATTTTCAAAAGCTTCAAACAAGATAGAGAGAGAGGGGTACTCAGACTTCCCCTTCTTTGGTTCGTGGCCAAAGATCACAACCAACCCTCAATTTATTCCTCACCAAATCAAATCAAAACTCTGCTTTCTACTATCATGACATTCACCTCTTTAACCCAGAATCAATTCACAATGATGACCCAATTTGGCCAGTCACAAGCACAAAAGGTTCATGGCAGTTGAATTAAAGACGAATGAGAGTGAAGAACAGAGAAACATAACCAGAAATCATACCTCAAGATTGACGATTTTACAGTGGAAATGAGAGAGCTCGTGAATGGTTTGAATCCTTTCTTTGATCCTTGGCAGAATTGGTCGTTATGCTGTGCTTATTTTTCTCTTTTTTTTACTTGTTTTTGTTTCGTTCAAATGTGATGTGTGCATAGAGATAGTACTTTTATACCTAACAAGTATGCGGTGTGCAAGTCCATATAATAACACACTATGCGATCGCATAGGTGTTATGCGGTGGGCTGATGACTTGGTCAGGTAGGTGCGATATGCGATGCACTATGCGATCACATACTTGGTATGCGGGCTGCATAAATGAGAATCAACTGTGGAGTTGACAACGAAATTAGCCCAACACTCTGCCTAGGTCTGCGATGACTATGCAGTTTGCATAGTCATTATGCGACCGCATAGCTGTCGCTTAATTTGGACCTCTTTTTCCTTCAGTTTCTTCAGACCCTGTTCATGAAATTTTACCTGCACTCTAGAACACACGTCAACTTGCTCAATCTAATCTACATAAATAATAAAAAACTACAAAAGAGTGTTACCACACATGGGTTGCCTCCCAAGAAGCGCTTGATCATGGCACAACGCTGTTTACTCCTTTTGGATTAATCTTTGGTGGAAGCAGCTGCTGGATCATCTGGTAGGGCAATTTATTCTATCACATGCCTTTCTCCGGTGGTTTCGAGGTAATGTTTGACTCGTTGTCCATTTACCTTGAAGGTCCGAGTCCCATCTTCTGACTTAAGTTCAATAGAACCATAGGGAGACACACGCACAACTTTGAATGGTCCAGACCATTTGGACTTGAGTTTGCCCAGAAATAACTTGAGTCTTGAGTTGAAAAGTAAGACCAAGTCACCCAAATTAAACTCCCGTTTCAGTTTTTTCTTGTTGTGGACAAACTTCATCCATTCTTTGTACATGACTGCACTCTCATAAGCATGAAGGCGGAATTCTTCCATCTCATTGAGTTGTGTCATCCTTAGGTTAGCAGCCTCAGCCTAATCAAGATTTAGCTTCTTTAAAGCCCACATAACTTTGTGCTCAAGTTCTACTGGTAAGTGACAAGCTTTGCCAAAAACCAACCTGTATGGTGAAGTGCCAATGGGGGTCTTGAATGCTGTGCGATAGGCCCACAATGCATCATCTAGCTTCCTTGACCAGTCGGTCCTGTTTGCATTAACAATTTTCGCTAGGATATTCTTTATTTCTCTGTTCAAAACTTCAACCTGACCCCTTGACTAAGAATGATAAGGTGTGGCCACCTTGTGCTTTACATCATATTTTTCAAGTAGCCCAGTAAAAGCCTTGTTACAGAAATGAGACCTACCATCACTCAGGATGGCCCTTGGAGTGCCAAACCATGTGAATATGTTTTTCTTCAAAAATGCGGTCACTCTCCTTGCTTCATTGTTCGTTAAGGAGATTACTTCAACCCATTTAGAGACATAGTCCACAGCCACCAAGATGTAGGTCATGCCATGCGAGCTCACAAAGGGGCCCATAAAGTCTATTCCCCACACATCAAAGATCTTAACCTCGAGTACAAAGTTCATTGGCATCTCATGTCTCTTAGATATTGACCCTTGTCTTTGACATTGGCCACATGCCTTGACCATTTGGTTTGCATCTTGGTAGATTGTTGGCCAATAATAGCCACATTCAAGCACTTTTGTTGCAGTCCGATTCTCTCCATGATGACTGTCACACCTCCTTTTTTTACCACCCGAGGGGGTATATGAGAGTTTTTCCAATTTAAGTGATATTATTCGATATGAGATTATTTATTTAATTTTATCAGAGTCGCCACTTGGAATAGTTTAATTGGTGTTCCAAGTCACCGGTTTATTTTAAAATCCCAAATCGAGGAAATTTTGACTTTATTTTAAAAGCCTGCGAACCAGAAATTATAAGTAAGGAATTTTGTTAACCCGGGAGAAGGTGTTAGGCATTCCCGGGTTCCGTGGTTCTAACACGGTCGCTTAAACAATTAATAATTGGCCTATTATCTGATTTACTACACATTTTAAACATGTTGTACATTTTTAACTTTGTAACAGCTTTTTAATTATTATAAACCGCTTTTTAGGATTTATGGAGTTATCTCTTGAACAAGCTACGGTTGTCGTACACTTGCCGTTTTGGGACACACCGCAAACCACGCTACATGAATTGCACCAGTGATTCACAACATGTGTATTTTATTAACATTAGAAGTTGTTATGAGCTGGTTACATGAAATACACCCCCAAATTTGGAAATTAGGTATCATGACGATGCCACGGGAATCTTACCCATAGTCACGATGGTTTATTATAAAATGCACCTAAAGCAAACTACGAATGTTCAAATTGTTTTCTAGACTAGTTGTGATATTAATGTGAGGGCCATGGGTTATGTATTTTATCGGTGGATGACGCGCCTCAATTTATTTTTAAAGAACTATACTTAATTAGAACGGTCTAAGGATATTCTTATCTAAAATGATTTGAACTTAGTAGGCAGTATTAGTTGTAAAAGGGTTCGGGGTACATGTACTGGGCCATCAAATCCTCGATTTAAAAGCAAATTTGCTTGGATTCTACTCTCTTTCTCGATGACAAGAAGCGGAAATTAAAGAAAATGAGTAAAGACTCCCAAAGCTAGTAACAGATTCCAAAATTTTGTTGAACAATAGTTAATCCAAAGTTTAACATTTTCGTCAAAATGAAGTGCTCACATTTACACTTGCAATGTTAAATTAACGTGGAAGATCCGAACAATAGCATAAGCTTAATAAAGAAATTCATATTAGGTGAATAGTGAAATATCAATAATTACACATTGCTAATTATAATCTTAGCTACAAAATGAGTCTAATCCTACATGCTGAAACCTCATATTCGAAAAAAACAAATTTTCTAAATTTGGTGCATTGTTCCTCATAGTTAAACAAACGAAGTAGCTAGATGAGATTCAAAATTGCTTATCTTCCAAACTCACTTACAAATGAATACTTAGCACATGATGCTCTAGATACTTCATTTGAAGCAAAACTGTTCAGCAGTACATCCAATTAATCAATACACAGCTCCAGACTTAGTTTTAGCTCAAGTCAAACAAACAAGATCAGTTATTGGCAAACGAAACAAATAAGAGCAGATTTGATGTTAAAAATAATTGAAGTTATGCGATTAAACATAGCCATAATATGAACAATTCAAAATCTCCATTTATAAGTCCGTTAGCTAATTACAAACGAGCACGACATACCTAGCAGCAAAAAACGCAATAGGAAAAGCTGACCAAATAAAGGTCGGAGGGTAGAAGATGAAGTTCAGATCCACAGCAGAAAGAAACAGCAGCAAAACTCTTAAGCAAACCAAGAGTTAACACCAAAACAAGAGGAATTTCAAGCTTGCTTTTCAAATTCTAGCTTTCTCTTCCTAATTTGAGACCTTTGCCCATTTTTTTTGGAATTCCTCGGATCTGGAATCCAATTTCAATTCCAGAATTTGTTTTTAGCTAATTTTGAGTGCCTTTCGGGTGGTGAGTGTATGAGGGAGAAATGTTTATGGCTGGAATCCTTTGGAGAGGAGAAGGTCTGCTGGTTTTGTTCTTGTGTGTGAGAGACGAGAGATCCCTTTTTTGGGGTAAATCTCGCTGAAGCTTAGGAAAAGGGAGGTGGGTGCACCATTTCTTGTTCAACAGAAGAGGGTCGTTCTCATCTGATTAGGTCTGTGTGTGGTCGCTGATCTTAAACAGCCATTGATGGGTTTGAAGAAGGGTGGTTCAAGGTCGTTTGTTGTGAGGGAAACAACGGATTTTTGGTCTAAGGGTCTTAGGAGTTAGCTCTAGGTTGTAGGTCTAAAATCTGATCTTATTTTCTTAGGTCTAGGTTTTTATTAAAGGGTAAGGGGTTTGGGTAGGTTAGATAGGTGGGCTGGGCATTTTTGAGGGAATTGGGCCATGCAAATTGGCCCATATCCAAAATTAGACCCAAAAATAGCTTAATCGCCCTTTTCTTTTCTTTGTTTTTTTTTCTTTTCTTTAATTAAAAATCATAAATTATCTAAAAATATGAAATTAAACTAATTAACTAATTATAAAAATTATAAACATCACTTAATTCTAAATTAAAAGAGAAAAAATCAATAAACTAAAAATTAAAAGACAAAAATGTAAAAATGAGCTATTTTTGTGATTTTTAAATTTCTATAAAACAAATAATCATTGATTAATCCTGAAAATGTAAAAATAAAGCCTGAATATAATGCAAGATATTTTTCATGATTTAATAAAATTAAACATGCACGAAAATGCAAACAATTAAATAAAAATTCTACAAAATTCCTAAAATGACAAATAATTAACAGGAAACCTATATTCTTGGGATTTTATAGGAGTATTTCATATAGGGCAAAAATCACATGCTCACAGCTACCCCTTTTTGCTCGGAAACACGGAGGATTTTCGGGCAAAGATAAAATGAACAATTATGAGGGATTTTTGCCCGTTTGAAACTCCATGAGAAGCATTTTTTGAAAGAGTCTCACTGAACCTTGCTTCAGAGGTTGCCTACATATCCTTGGCTATAAAGGAATCATGTCAGTGTAGTTCTGGAAGTTTTGGTAGCTGAGACTACCGGAAAACTGTGATTTCACTACTGTTGCTGCTGTTTCTGCTTACTGAACTCCTTATTACACCATAATGAAAAAATAAAAGCTAAACTAGTAAAGCCTATCAACTACGAGTTACAAGATTCCTATCTATAAACCTTCTAAAGCTTGATCTCGAGTCTTGGACGGTTCTTTCTGTAGAATCTGATCTGAATCTTGTTGCTCGTTAGCTGCAACTGCTGGTTCATTCTTCTTCAGCTTTTCGGATCAAGGCGGGACATGCGAAACTTGTGACTTCAATCAAATTTTGAGTAGTCCGCATCTTTTCTCCGCTTTTACACTTAGAGTTCAATTTTTTTTGTTTCTTCTTTTCTTTTATTTGGGTTTAGACTTCTTCTTTTGGTCATCTCAAACCTTGTGCCTCATGGTGAAAACCTGTTCTGGCACCAAAGCAAACAAACGAATGAAATTTTCTGCCTCAGAGGAATATTTCATGAGTTATTGTAACAAAAATCTAAACTATTTCTTTATTGAAATCAATTAAAATAAGGATTGTGTATCCTTGGGAAAAAGAGATTAAGGAGTGGAGCCCTATATTTATACTAAAATCAACCAGGGAATGGAGATCCTATGTTGGAAAGGCGACTAGGGAGTGGAGAGCCTATGTTTAAAATAAACTCAACTAGGTAGTGGAGACCCTATGTTGGAAAGGCGACTAGGGAGTGGAGACCCTATGTTTAAAATAAACTCAACTAGGGAGTGGAGACCCAATGTTGGAAAGGCGACTAGCGAGTGGCGACCCTATGTCTAAAAATAAACTCAACTAGGGAGTAGAGACCCTATGTTGGAAAGGCGACTAGGGAGTGAAGACCCTATGTCTAAAAATAAACTCAACTAGGGAGTGGAGACCCTATGTTGGAAAGTCGACTAGGGAGTGGAGACCCTATGTCTAAAAATAAACTCAACTAGGGAATGAAGACCCTATGTTGGAAAGGCGACTAGGGAGTGGAGACCCTATGTCTAAAATAAACTCAATTAGGGAGTGGAGACCCTATGTTAGAAAGGCGACTAGGGAGTCGAGACCCTATGTCTAAAATAAAATCAACTAGGGAGTGGAGACACTATGTTGGAAAAGCCGACTAGGGAGTGGAGACCCTATGTCTAAAATAAAATCAACTAGGGAGTGGAGACCCAATGTTAGAAAAACGACTAGGGAGTGGAGACCCTATGTCTAAAATAAAATCAACTAGGGAGTGGAGACCCAATGTTAGAAAAACGACTAGGGAGTGGAGACCCTATGTCTAAAATAACTTCAACTAGGCAGTGGAGACCCTATGTTGGAAAGGCGACTAGGGAGTGGAGACCCTATGTGTAAAATAAAATCAACTAGGGAGTGGAGACCCTATGTTGGAAAAGCCGACTAGGGAGTGGAGACCCTATGTCTAAAATACGACTAGGGAGTGGAGACCCTATGTCTAAAATAACTTCAACTAGGGAGTGGAGACCCTATGTTGGAAAAGCGACTAGGGAGTGGAGACCCTATATATAAAATAAACTAAACTAGGGAGTGGAGACCCTATGTTGGAAAGAATGGAACTAGAGTTTTGGGACCCTAGGCTACCATTTTTTTTCCAGCAATCCGCTAGGCAAGCACCTAGGGCTATTTTTTTTATTAATAAAGAAAAGAACAGAAAATACAACAATTAGGAATAGTACAAATAAGGGGGACAATAGCACCGGTATTGTTACCTATATGCCTTGGCTATATAATCACTCCTCTGCGCTTCACATTACATTATGATGGCAGCCTCATGAAGAGGATTCATGGTGTAGCTGCCGGCAAAGTCTCACGAGGGCATATAATCTCATAGCCGTGTGGATATTTTTCCAAAGGCATAGGACCAAGACAACTCAAACCGGGCTAAACCTTACCTTACTAATCCTATTGAGGCAATGAAAAGGCCTCACCTACTAGCACGCATGTAAAAAATAAGAACTGGAGAGGACCAAATATTTTTCCTCTCATCTCTTTTTTTTTATTTTTTATTTATTTCATAGAGTGAATGAATGCGGGAAAGAATTTTGGAGGGGACTTCCCTTTATGGATTGTCGCTGTAAAGCTGTTTCTAGCCCTTGCGCAGTTTCTTTTGGTTGCACCTGCTTCTTGTAAGGTTGCTTTGGATTGCACCTGATTCATGCTTTCAAACAAAGAACAATTGTCAGTTTGAAACGGTAGTTGGTTTTGTGGCCTTGATTGTTTCAATCACTTGATCTCAGCCCGACTTCTTTGATGAAGATCTTAATTGCAACTGCTCATTTCTTGGGGACCGATTTTATTTCAGGCCCTGAGAACCTCTGGTTTTTTCTAGATTTTTCCATGACGGTTGGTTGGTGGAACTCAACCTTTTCAACTTTATTTTGCCTTCGTAGGCCTTTCACTTTTGACTTGTTGCTTTTTTTCTTTTTTTTCTTTTTTGTTTTTAACCATTCAGAGCATTGGGGAATGTTTTGGCTCCTCAAACTTGCTGCAACGGCTAATCGCGTGGGACTTAACCTTTTCCAACTTTATTTTTGCCTTTATAGGCCTTTCATTTCTAGTTTCTTTCTTCCAACTTCAATTTCAAAGCATTTGGGGTACCTTGGATTTTCAAATTTTTGTTGAGACGGTTAGCCACGCGAGACGTAACCTTTTCCAACTTTATTTTGCCTTTCTGGGCATTTGACTTTGATTTCCTTTCTTTTCAAGAGTTTCTTTTTATTTCAAAGCATCGACCATCATGGCCAGTCGAGGTCAACTTAATGCACCTGCCGAGGCTGGGTATCTTCTTGAATATTGGCTCGTATCAAAGAAAAACCCAGTAAATCAATCTTGCCATCCTTTCTTTGTCTTTGTTTCGGAATAGAGTTAGACCAAAAGAGATTCAAAGAAAAACAAACAATGAAATGGACAATGAATTTAGACGAAAGGTATCCCTTTTGGGGAGAAGAAAGAAGGACTTATCTGGAGTGCATGTGGACTTCAATGATCATGACATGCCTTTTGGACTGGATGCCTGATCTGTGTAAACCGTCCGACTCTCAAAAATTCATCACAACTTTTGCCTCAAAATCGAGAAACCTTGCCAGGACTCTGTCGATGCCAATGGCTGTGAGGATCTTCTTTTTGATCAGGGGCGCCCTTTGCGGGTTTTCACTAGCTGAACACTCTTATTTCTCTTCACACCATCGCCTTATAGTGCTCTTTGCGAGTTTTCACTAACAAGACTCTCTCATTTCAATTTCTCTGCTTACTGTCGCCTTATGGTGCCCGCGTGGGTTTTCAACAATAAGATTCTCTCATTTCATTTCTCTGCTTACCATCTCCTTATGGTGCCTATGTGGGTTTTCACCAATAAGACTCTCTCATTTTGTTGTATCAGATCCAAGTAACTCTATCCTCCCATTTTGATCCTTTTTGCCGATTGATCAGAAGGACTTGAACAGGGTTTTGGGGTAAAAAGGATTTGGGATTGAGTTACAACTTTGGAACCTTTCGGGCGAAACCATCGCCAAACCATTATAACGTTTGCCCCGGTTTCACTTTTGGGGGGATTTGGATTTTTATTTTGGTGTGACTGAACCTAGAGAGGCTACCTACGTATCCTTTCAGAATCAAGTCGAATGTTGTTCAGGGAATTTTTTTTTGATTTTTTTCTGTTTTATTTTGTTTTCTCTTTCTTTTTCCTCTCTTTTCATTTTTTTTTTCATTTCATTTTTTTTAATTTCATTTTCAATAACACTTTCAAGTTCCAAAAAGGGTAATCAAAGAAGAGTAACCGGCTCAAAAAGGTTTGCAAAGGGTTAAGTGTTTGGATAGTGAGAAAGAAAGCCTTCTTCATCCTAACCGGAGAACATTAATGCTATATAGAAGATCCAACATAATACCTTTTGACTGCATTTGCATTGGCAGTTGTTTCAAGGACATTTCCTTCGATGTGTTCCAAGTACAACACACTCTTTTGGCAGTACTCTTGTTGCAATGTATGGACCTTTACAATCTGAAACCAATTTTCCTTCAGCTATTCCAAATCTTTGTTTTATTTCCTCAAACTTATCCTCATTGAGATCTAGTTCTTGATTCATTACTTCGAGGTCTGACAACTTTTCAGGATCTGGGCATGAAGTCCGTAAGCATGTCATGTTATTGAAATCTGCATTTAGTAAAATTGAAACGAAAAATAAGAAAAGAGATATTCCTGGACAATGAAATATTAATTTCATTTGATTTTTTGATTTTTGATTTTTTTTTTTCAATTTTTGAAGATAGAAGGGTTTACATCGGAAAGTAAGACAATAAAGGAAAA